AAACTGAGGCTCCTAGGAGCTCAGTTCTTTGCCAGGGCCACACCGTCAGTGAGTCACAGAGTTGGGTTGGAACACAAGCAATCCAGCATTACACTTCTTGTTCTACGTCAGCCCTTGTCCAAGTGTAATGCAGTGACCATGGCGTCATGAGGAAGTGCCAGCCCTAATGCAGCCGATCTGGGTGGAGCTTGATGAGTGGCACCTGCCACAGTGCCTGAGGCGAGGCAGCACACCCTGAGGGACCAGGGCCTGTGCCCTGCCACCACGGTGTGCTGAAAGAGAAGCTGCCGTTGTGTCATAACACTCAGCCAGGACGGGCCCGTCATCCGTCTTTCAGCCTCTGTAACGGGACGCGAGGATGCGTGAACCAACGCGCGGGATACTCGCCTTCCGCAGAAGCAGCCTTGGGAGCGGATTTTGAGTTGAAACAGAATGTCCGAGAACTGCCTGCTGAAATCACTGAGGATGATCAAAACGTGTTCGTTGGTTACTGAGGTTCCTCTAGCGGGTCCTTTGGTTAGATCGTCCGTTGGTTAGCCCAAACGTCTACCTCCAGACTTGAGAATCCGAGATTACACAGAATGCGTTCACCTGCCAAGCATTGATAGCCACCCTGGAGAAGGTTGTGACCCAAGACCTTTTGCTCCCAACCCTGTCCAGCCCTCGAGGCAGACATTTGGGAGTGCTTGTCACTTGGTATTGATGGGGAAGGAGAAAGCTGTCGGTAGAACCTCTGACTGCGTGGATTCCAACTCTGCAATGACAGGATCCGATCTCTGTGTGGGAGCTGCAATTTCCCTGAAATGGGCTGCGGAGACTCCCTCCTTCACCGTGTGATACCAAGGGCATCTTCAACAGGAATTATTTGAGTACAGATGCAAATTTCAGCCACAAAACAATCCATCAGCACAATAACTCAAGGTGCTGTTCTCACAAGACTACACTCGGTCAAGTGTTGGATATTGTTTAATTTCTCTGAGATGGCTGAGTGGGGCTTCATCTACAGTTTAAGAGGTTGACACTGAAGTGAAAGATGAGGATTTTTTTTTTTTGGAATTCCTTTCCAATAAATATTTCCACCCTCGTATAACAAAGGAACAGAATATCTGCCTGTAGGAGCAATCGCTTATCCAAAGTCCTGAACCCTACAGGCTCCACTAAGGTAGGGAGTTTGCCTTTTTAGGAGACGGGGACATATCATCGAAGGCCATTCAACCTACAGACACCTAAAGGACAGAGTGGCTGTGTGTGTGTGAGGATGCCCTTCCCTTACAGAAAGGCTGACTACCCAAGGCACACCCATTGCCCACGTTGGCTGTAAGTGGCCTGGAGTGCCGCCTAGCGGAACAGCGGATGCTGCCCATCATATTCTGGAAAACCAACGTCCTCATCGCTTGCGCATCTGGTATCCCAGTAAACATGCTGTCGCCGAAAGCACATCGTTGGCAGATGAGCCGGCCAGCACACCCCAAGCCAGCACCTGTCATAGTCTATGCATATACCTAGCATTTGAAGGACCCTGCCAGACGCCCAACTGAATTGTCTGAAACCTAATTCCCTATGGCAATATCCTTAGACTCCTATTTCTAAGAATATTATTGAAAGGGAGGCAGAGAGAGAAAGGCAGCTCGTATCCATTCCCCAAATGCCCACATTGGCCTGGACTGGACCAGGCTGTGCAACGAAGCACACCTGAACTTCGTCCAGGAGCCCAAACTTAGGAGCAGGGGCAGAACTTAAACCCAGCCACTCTGATGTGGGACACAGGCATCCTGCCTCTCATGTCAACCACTAGACCAAGATCCGAATTGTAGCTGCTCAGGACGGAAATTTTTTTCAACCAGCATAATAAATGTTTCCTCCTCTTTTTTGTAAAACCTAGTCCTGTGACCTCTTCAACTAACATTTTACTGAGCTCTCTGTGTTATGTTTTCAAGACATTCATATTCCATTTGGAACTAGCTGTAATTTGTTTCTTCTAAGATCTTAATGTTTAAATTAAACCAAAGGCAAATTATGGTAATGGTTTCTTTTGGCCACTAGAGGGCAGGAGCTTACTTCTAAGGCTCGTTCAGCACTTGCCATCCAACTAAGCAAACAGTGGACATTTGAAATACTATCTTCTGAAGCCCGTTTCCTTTAGATGGGCTTAATTAGATTCTAAACATTAATTAAGTTTTGAAATGTCCTATGTGTTGACTTCTGATTCTTGTGGGTGGGATGGGAATTTGGCTCTTTATTTCAGTTCATATGCTCATACAATTGGAATTATTTAAACTTTCAATCCTTTTATCAAGAAGTTAAGTTGTAGACTTATGTACTGTAGCCACGTTTTTCCCACTTCTTTTCAGCTCTTAATTTTTATTGTCTTACTTAACTCTTTCTATATGAGTGCCTCTCCGGGAAACAGGGAAATGTTTTTGAAAGATGTGGAAACCAATTGCTGATGATTCACTGTGGATATATAGACCCCGTGTTGCCAGACACAACTTTTATTTAAAATTATTTATTGGAAAGGCAGGGAGAAAGAAAGAGAGACACACAGAGAGAGGGGATTAAAGAGAGGGGATTAAAGAGAGAGGGGATAAATCCTTACTCATCCACTGATTCATTCCCCAAATGGCCACAGTGGCCAGAGCTGGGCTGGTTTGAAGCCAGGAGGCAGGAGCTTCTTCAGGGGCTACCATAGGGGTGCAGGGGCCTGGCTCCTTGAGCCACCTTTCCCTGGTTCCCTAGGTGTATTACCAGGGAGCCAGAGTGGAAGTGGAGCAGCCAGGACGCGAGCCAGTGCCCGTACAGCATCCCGGAATGGCAGTGGGTGGCTTACCCATGACACAACAGTGCTAGCCCCATAGATACAAGAAAGAAATCCATTTTTTAAAATGGGAAAGTCTCTTTAAGGTCTAGTAGCATCAAGTAAACCCACTTTGCACTGTGACTCTCCAGCTTCAGTGTCTTACCGAATGACCTTGGCATATGGTTCAACGGAAATGTCCTGGTGGATGAAAATCAGAGAAATCCTTTCTCAAGAAGTAGATCTGTCCTGGGGCGTGGTGGTGACGCTTCATTCCTTGTTCAAGGTCGTGTCTCCACATGGCAAGCTGTCATTGGTCCCAGGCTTCCTCTCTTCTCCCTCTAAACCAAGAGTCCTCAGCAGGCATCGCACACAGGCAGGGTTGGCTTCTGTTAAATTAGTTTCGGAATCCTTGTGTGAGAGATGCCTTTGGGGAGAGGTGGGCGACCACTGGAGACCACTGGAGACCATCAGCATCACTCTTGTCCCTCTTGGGTTTTGTAAAAAATGTCATCATGTGACAGTCTGCCAACTCTGCCATGATACAGCGTTGGATTCCAAGTGACATCCGGGGACTGTATTTCCTGATTGACTTTCTGATGGACAGTAGGAGAGGGTGTTAGGCTGAACGTGCTGTCTCCAAGAGCAGCCCAGATCCAGAAGATCATGTTTTAAAGGAATAAGTGGATTTTTTGTCAATTTTTAAAGGTTTGCTGATTTTTATTCACATGAAAGACAGAGAGAGAATGAATGAATGGATGAATATATCTTCCATCCACTCTTTTGACTCCTCAAATGTCTGCAAGAGTTGGGGCTATGGCAGGCTGAGGCCGGGAGTCAGGAGCTGATGTCACAGCAGGTGGCAGGGGCCCAGGGGAAGTCAGCAGCCTCCGTTTCCCAGGGTGAGAAACATCAGGCAGCTGTGTCCAAAGCAGAGGCCTGGCTAGATCCTAAGCACTTCCGGATCAAAGGTGGCATCTCACAATGTGGTTTAACCTACTATGCCGTATCACTTCAGGAAACAAGCAAGATGCAGAGTTGCGGAGCATTTAGTTATTAAGAACCTTGAAAGAGTATGTCCTCCTGGGACAATTATTCTTGAAAAGCATTTACTAAAGACTTAGCCCTGTATAGAGGCAATAATCCAGCTGCTAGGAAGCATGGGGGTGGAGAGTCTGTAAGTTGCAATGCATTTATTATTGTTAATAATTGGTAACATCTCATCGGTTTAACCACTTACCCATTGTTTAACACATGCATTTACTATGTGACAGGAACGATTTTAACAACTTCATAAGCATCAACTTTTTCAGCCCTGTTAAGAACAATGCAAAACAGATAATTATGCTGTCTAGTGAATATACATTCCTGGGCTGTGCAGATAATGAAACTGAGGCACATACAGTTAAGTGACTTAGTTAGCATCGCATCACCAGCAAATGGCAGGGTCAGAATTTGAACTTCAGTAGTTGTGGCTCCAAAACATACAATTTTATTTAAGACTTATTTGAAAGACAGAGTGACCAGATGAGAGGGTGAGGCAGATTTTTCATGTGCTGGTTCACTTTCCCAAATGACTACAGCAGCCAGGCCTGGATCAGGGTGAAGCTGTGGAGCCAGAATCTCCATCCTCGTCTCCCACGTGGGTGGCTGAGCCATCTTCCCCTTCGTTCCCAGTCCATCAGCAGGAACCTCAAAGCCTACACTCTTACCCACCACATCAGTTTGTTCCTGCTGTGAAACAACTTCCAAATGGAATGACTTATATCAACTATTCGTTTTTGTTGAGTCATGTGAAGCTTGGAAGTTTTACTCATGTGATGGTCGTAGGAGCCAGGATGGCACATCTCTTTTCCACCAGGTGTGAGGATAAGGGCAATGAGGAGGAAGACCGTCCCTCTCTTGGCCCATGCTCTGCTTGAATCCAAGTGACAGTGGTCACAGTTAGGTCCAGGATCTGTGTGGGAGGACCCCACCACAGGCTTAGGCATAGTCTGCTGTGAAAATTGGGACCCTCAGCGACCACAATGTTGGTACCATACCTTGCCATTTTACCCTGCTAGCCATGAAAAAAAAAATGGCCAACTAGATAATTCAGTGTCCAGGGATGGGCTAACTGCTATAAATTACAGCCATGTTGGTTCAGGAAGGCAATCAAAGAACAATAAGAACTGTGGGGAATGACCAAGGTCCTTGTGAATTCTAGGCTGACCCTGGGGAAGCACCATCAGAGGCACCAAGTGAAGCCAAGACGACTCCAGCTGAAAATGGAGTGAATCACACCTCCTCCCTGGCCCCCAAACCTGCCTCGCAGGCTCTGCACAGCCAGCCAGCTCCAGGTAAGTGACTGGAGGATCAGGGTTTTCTGGCCCCTAGAGGAGGTCGTCTTAAACCAGGTCTGGGTGATTGGGGGGGTGGGGGGCAAGTGTGGGGAGAGGCATGGTGTGACAGGTGCCCCGTGAGTGTCTGGTGGATGAAGGGATGAATGGCCGAGAGCCAAGGAGGGACTCACAGATGCTCAGTAGATCTCAGGGCAACTTTGGAAGCCACCACAACAGCCAATCCCGAGGCCTCCTGGTTCTGTGTTTAGTAGTGTTAGGATCTGCCTGATGGCAAGCTGTGTGAAGAGGGTGTGTTCTCGGTCCTTCTCCATTAATGCCTCTCGCGAGAGCACACTCCTCCTCTCTCTGACTCCCTTGGCATGAGCTCTTGTGTTGAACCCGTGCCGGCTTTTCTCCTTGGACCTTCCCATGCATTCCTTTCCCCCACAGGTACCTGGCCTAGGAGTGCAGATTTTATTATGTAAATAAGCTGCACTTTGGAGCTTATAAAGTACTTCACCAAGGCCAGATAGCCAGGCGGGAGTGAAGTCAGGACAGGCCTAGTTCCTCGTGTTTTTGAAGTTCTTGTTTATTTTAGCGACTCCGAGGCCTCCCTTTCCAGACACTTCTGAGCAGCCAATTATGACATCTAACCTCACCCCGCTTTCTCTGAGTTTTTCTCCTGTGTATGTGTCATTTCCCAGGGTAGCTACTAGGCTTTCTAGGGTAGTAGGCCTCTGTTGGACACTTCCCTGGCTCATCACGCGGGGTTGAGAGAATGTCTGTGATAACTTTGTGTTCCCTTGGTTACCAGAGTAAATAAGCGGAATAAAATTGTCCTCCTGTGAAGGTGTGCCTTTAGGACCCATAGCAGTAAGACACATGACCCTTATTTGGGATACAAGAATACAGTCCAGTGTAGGACAGTGAGATTTTAAAAAAATGAACCATTTAAGTGAAATTACACTTGGATGTACTGATTGACATTGTTTCAATTCTTGTTGAATTATTTGAAAGGAAGACACAAAGAGACAGTGTGCATATGAGAGAGAGAGAGAGAGAAAAAAACACATCTCTATTTGCTGATTTACTCCCAAAATACCCACAAGGTCCTGGGTCGATAGAAAGTATCCGATTTTTGTCATTTTTTGTTTTCATTTCTCTAGAAAGAGTAGAATGTACACATTTTGATTTGTTCTTGTTGTATGCTTATACTGCAGGCTCTGTGAAGGCACCTGCAAAAACAGAAGATCTTATTCAGAGTGTTCTAACAGGTGAGTGTGGCCCTGCGCTCCTGTGAAATTAGGAGCTGAATTCTACAGTGTCTGCAGAGGAAAAATTGTCCATTGATGTCTCAAAAATAACATCCGTAGTAGTTCTTCTTTTTTAAAAAAAGATTTTGTTGATTTTACTTGGAAGAATAAAGAGAGAGAGTGTGTGTTGTTTGTCCACTGGTTCTCTCTACAATTGGCCAGTAAGGCCAAAATAGGGTTGGTCCAAAGCTGAGAGCCAGGAGCTTCTGCCTGGTCTCCTGTGCGGGTGTCAAGGGTCCAAGGACTTGGGCCTCCCTATGCTGCTCTTCTAGGCCATCCTGGGAAGATGGACTGAAAGTGGGGTAGCCAGGATTCGAACCAGCATTCATGTCAAAGGCGGAGGATTAACTTGCTACAGCATTTCTTTTTAAAAATCTACAGACAATCCTAGTTGAGACCCGTTACATGATGTAATCACAGAGAATTAGCCATAGTTACTGAGACCTGCTGACTTAGAACTGTGCAGTTTCACAAGACAGCTGTGTTGGAGTTCACGGTGTGTTTCCTCGTGAGAACGCGACCCAGTGAACTGGCACACGTGTCTTCTCCAGAGCCAACAGAAAATTGGATTCAGGGTGTGCAGAATACGATCTGTATGCAAAATATGATGTGAAATGCAGTGTGTAAGAACTGTGACACAGTTTAGAAACATTTGGTATTCAGTTATTAAAATTGGCACAAATCTCACTCAGTGCACTTATCTGTATGTAGTAGTCTTCATTTTTAGTAGTTCACTTAATGCAGAACAAATAGGTACATCGATGTGCATCAAAAATAACTTCACTCCTAAGAGCGCAGGTTTGTGGACAGCACAAATGCCCATCGATAGTAGCACAGACATACAAACGAATTGTGGTATGCTCACATAATATGAGCAGTGATAAATTCACAGAATAGAGGAAGGCATAAATATAGAAATACAGAAGCTGTATCCAGGCACAGCTGCAATGAGGAGGAAAGCAGGAACACGTTCAGTGTAGTTTGATCGACATGGAGCTCAGCAGTGGGCAACGTGAGACCATGCCATGGGAGTCCAGGCTCGCATTACAGGAAGGCCCGGAAGCAAATGGTAGGCTCCTGGGTGTTAGCCATGATCTCCGCTCCAAGTTCAGGGCCGTCCCTTTGTTCTGTATGTACTTTAATACAAAATGTGTACGGAAAAATTGCTTGAGGGAACATGTTAAAAGAATACATGTTTTAGCAGACTGATGGGAAACAACACGTTAATGTGTAACAGAGGCAAAAGAGATCCAATATTCTCTCAAGGTTTACAAATGCGCAAGTGGAAGGCAGGTGGGGTCTAAACCAACAGGTTAGCTGTTGTTAAGCCTGAGTAACTTATTGTTACTCGAGTGATACTCGAGTCTTTAAATAAATGCACAGTATAGCAGCAGTATAGCTAAGGAATACTTTTTCATCTTTAAACTTTCCAAAAAGAGTAAGTAATCTAGAGGGAGGTTTTTTTTTTTTTTAATGTAATAGGATAAAATAGCTGAAATTCCATTTCTATACTGCCTGTAGCTGTTGTGCTTCAAACCTGCTTTTATTTTTTAAAAATTTTTAAAGATTTATTCATTTTTATTACAAAGTCAGATATATAGAGAGGAGGAGAAACAGAGAGGAAGATCTTCCATCTGATGATTCACTCCCCAAGTGAGCGCAACAGCCGGTGCTGTGCCGATCCGAAGCCAGGAGCCAGGAAGTTCCTCCAGGTCTCCCATGCAGGTGCAGGGTCCCAAGGCTTTGGGCCAGCCTCGACACTGCTTTGCCAGGCCCCAAGCAGGGAGCTGGATGGGAAGTGGAGCTGCCGGGATTAGAACCGGCACCCATATAGGATCCCGGTGCGTTCAAGGGGAGGACTTTAGCTGCTAGGCATACCACCGGGCCCTAGCCTTTTGAATTCTTAATGCAATAACTTATTATGCAGCCCTAATGAGTGCATTTGGGCCTGAGAGAAACCGCTTAATACATGTACCTGGTTCCCTCCACAGCTTCCTTCTCAAATGGATTTAAATATCGGGAGAATAGGCACACGATAAGAAAGGAAGCTTATTTTGATTGTTTAAAGACCGTAGCATTTAGGGATATAAATTATTATTCTCATTCTAATGATTGTCCCCTAGACAATCTCATTTTCCATTCAAGTCTGTTGTTATCCATGGCATAAATTATTTCTGAATCACTTGACAATCCTAAATATTTATGGTAACGGTTTTTTTTCATTCCCAGAAGCAGAAAGTTCAAAGCCAAATGAAGTGTGACTCAGTGTAGGTCCGAATGGATGGTAATTCAGTGGCGCTAAGATAGCATCATTTATGGGGCTCCTTGCTTTTCATAAATCACTGAGACAGGAACGCTCGGAGGCACTGTGATACCTGACTGTAGGATGCATCTTGATTTCAGAAACATTAACACATTCTGAAAATGCATATTCCAGAACTGATGGACCACGTCAGTAAGACGTAGAACGTGTCAAGGTCAGGCTCTGTCCCATGAAACATGGTCTCAGCAGTGGGTATGAGACTGAGAAAAAAGAAGTTGCTGCTAAGCGGTCGGGTGCCTTTGTACGAAATAGATGAGTCGATCTCTTTGAAGACGTTGTTGTGCTATGTGCTGTGTGATAATGGTGTAAAGCTAGAGGGCTCACCCGGTGCCAACCTGTGTCAACCCGTGGCTGTGTGAGACAGAGCCGTAGGGCCTCAGCAGTCACCTGACCACCTGCTCAAGAACACTGCCAGGAATCATGTCAAATACTGCCCGTGTACTGCGTTATTCTGTAACTGTAACAAGCCCAAAACGTAGTGGAAATTCTTAGCATCAAAGCAGGTGCTGTGGGTCCCCCAGACAGCTTCTCTGTGCACTGGCGTTCGTGTCTCCCAACTGTGCTAGGGGCTCACTGCTAACAGCCTGAACCCTCAGCCACTGGGAAACCTCCTTCCTGAAGGCCAGACCGCTGACTCTCTGTCTCCAGGGACACCAGTGCTGTGTGGACATGGACACACCAGGGCTCCCGCGGGCAGAGAGCCAGCTTCCTCCCGAAACCCCTGACTGACTCAGCTAGTTGCACTGTCCCATCTGCTTCCCTCACTCGCTGATTCTGACAGCTCCTCTGTCAACAACGCCACCCACCTCATTTCATCCTTGGGTCTCTGCTTTTGAGGAATCCAAGCTTTCAAAACAGAGGGTTTGGGAGAAGTGTGGCAGTCTAGTTGTGGAGTTAGCAGGTGACAGAGCCAGAGTGTTTGACATTTGGGCTGGGCTGTTTAGCCCCACGTGGCTGGGAGAAGACAAGAGCTGTTGAGCGAGCAGGTCCCCGCTTCCTCTTGCGTGGGGACCCCAGGGTGGTCCATGTCCCTCCGTGTCCCTGAGGTCTGACGCTCGTGTGTTGCAGAAGTGGAAGCGCAAACTATTGAAGAGCTAAAGCAACAGAAGCCATTTGTGAAACTCCAAAAGAAGCACTACAAAGAGATGAAGGACCTGGTGAAGAGACACCACAAGAAGACCACTGACCTCATCAAAGAACACACTACGAAATACAACGAAATTCAGAACGATTACCTGAGAAGGAGGGCGGCTCTGGAGAAGACCGCCAAAAAGGACAGCAAGAAAAGGTAAGCTGAGTGACTCTTGGATTGGGCTTGTTTTATGATATGACGGAAGAGTCTTTTACATGGCTTTTCAGTGCTTGGTGTCACACAACAAAGTAAATGTTATCGGAGGGTGAAACTTCAGAAACTCTTGAAGCAGATTAAACTTTTAATTTTCTTTTTCCATAGACGTGAGGCACCCTTGTCTTTTGGGACTTATGCTGACACAAGGAGTCAGCCAACCTCCTTCATTCTCCACAGTCATTGCGGCTTGATTAGGCTTGTGGACTGAACTTCTTTTTTTATTTTTAAAGATTTATATATTTTTATTGGAAAGGCAAATATGCAGAGAGGAGGAGAGACAGAGAGGAAGATCTTCCGTCCGATGATTCACTCCCCAAGTGAGCGCAACGGCTGGAGCTGAGCCAATCAGAAGTCAGGAGCTTTTTCTGGGTCTTCCGCGTGGGTGCAGGGTCCCAAGGCATTGGGCCGTCCTCAACTGCTTTCCCAGGCCCCAAGCAGGGAGCTGGATGGGAAGCAGGGCTGCTGCAATTAGAACTGGCAACCATATGGGATCTTGGCATGTTCAAGGTGAGGACTTTAGTTGCTAGACTGTTGCACTGGGCCCCGGAGGAATTTCTTTATTGAGCAAAAAATCCTGAGGGTAGATGTATAGAAGTCCCTCTTTCAACGTGAGCCTCTGGGTATCATACAGGCGGGCTGGTTTTCCATATTACAGATGCTGGTCTTGCAGGCAGGACATTTTACCTGGTGTTCCCGGGAGCTAGCTAGTACAAGAAGCGTGTTATCTTATATGAAAGAGAAGTTTCAACCGATCTTGGAAGCTTTATCGGAACCCTACAGTGCCCTGGACATACTGCCCCTGTGTTGGTCCCCTCGGGGCTCCCTGGAGCTGTGGTGAGGATGCTGGAGCGTGCCTCGCACAGTCGTGTCACCAATGTCCATGATGTGTTTCCGTGTCCTGAGGGACACCACAGGTAACGTGGCCTGTGCAGTTCACCTCCTCAGACAGCTAACGTGGACAATGAGCAGTGAACAAGCGAGGATCCCACCCAGTGTCAACCTGTGACAAGCACCAAGAGGGAAAGGCAGACGCGAGAAAGTGGCCAAGAGAACAACTAGGGACCAGGGATCCCTTTTGACATGTTGCTTCAGGATAAAGTGACACAGGAAGATCTTAATGTTTAATTGTTAATTTCAATCTTAGCAGAATCAGCTGTTCTCAGATTGAGGGAGAATTATGGTGGGCTGAGAAAACAGGAAGTTTAAAATCCTTGAGGCGGGGGGAAGTAAGAGCTCCTGCTAGGAGCAGTGAATGTGGGTAAGTGGAGAAGACAGTAAATCAGGAGTAGGTAGACTAAACAAGGTCAAGTCAGAGAAACAGTCTTATAAGAATGCACAGGAGGGCCCGGCACAGTGGCCTAGTGGCTGAAGTCCTCGCCTTGATCACACCGGGATCCCATATGAGCACCGGTTCTAATCCCGGCAGTTCCACTTCCCATCCAGCTCCCTGCCTGTGGCCCGGGAAAGCAGTCGAGGCTGGCCCAAAGCCTTGGGACCCTGCACCTGCATGGGAGACCCGGAAGAAGTTCCTGGATCCTGGCTTCAGATCAGCATAGCATCGGCCGTTGTGCTCACTTGGGGAGTGAATCATCAGATGGACAAAAGATCTTCCTCTCTGTCTCTCCTCCTCTCTGTATAACTGAGTTTCCAATAAATAAATAAATCTTTAATAATAATAATAATTCAACAGAGGAGAAATTAAAAAAATAAGAATGCATGGGAACTGCATATGAGGGAAAAATAATGCACAAACTTCCAAATTCTTTGCTGCCAAAATCATCCAATTAAATTTTAAAAAGATTTTATCTATTTTTATTGGAAAGTCAGATTTACAGAGAAGAGACACAGAGAAAGATCTTCCATCCACTGGCTCACTCTCCAGATGTCTGCAATGGTCAGAGCTTTAGCTGATGCAAAGCCAGGAGTCAAAAGTCTCTTCTGGGTCTCCCACGTGGGTGCAGGGGCCCAAGCACTTGGGACATCCTCCACTGCCTTCCCAGGCCGTGAGAAGAGAGCTGAATGGGAAGTGGAGCAGCCCGGGATACAAACTGGTTCCCAAATAGGATGCTGGCACTTGAAGATGGAGAATTAGCCTGTTGAGCCATGGTGCTAGCTGCAAAATCACAAATCATTCTATTTTTTGATAAACTCTTTTAAGTACCCTTGAAGGAGGCAGAGTCATATTACTTACTAAGTTCTTTAGGGCCTGGCCCCAAAGACAGACATTTGAGAAGTTATTCTACATGTAGCAAAAAAAAAAAAAAAAAAAAACCCTGGAAAAAATTAGGTGGAATTGGCATGGACCAATTTATCTTCTCAGACAGTAGCCGCTGTGGGGAGATGGACTGTGGGTCTTTGCTTGAGCAGTGAGATGAGTCCCCAAGGAATTTGGTTGCTGCGAGTTCTGATCCTGCAGGGCTGAGCTGACTCTGAGCATCCCTGGCTGGTGCTGATGTTGCCTCATAGACTGCTCTGAACAGTGCAGACTGAGGGTATGCCAGTAGTCACAGGGAGCCCGGTTGGGAAGCTTTGTCATGAGCCCAGCTCAGTAGCAATGGGGATTTTGTCTAGGATGCTGCAATAGAGGTAGAGGGGCAGGGAGAGAATCCTGATTTCTTTTAAAGAGGAGATCGGCTCTAAGGCTGGAAACCCACTGTGGGAGCGCAGTTCTCCACTGTCCCGGAGGAGCATGAAGCTCTGGCTGTCATCCCCTGGCTGACTCTGGGTCTGGCACTCTGTTGGCTAGACCATGCCAGGGCATCTTATATTTCAGTGTGCATGAGAATCACTTCAGTATTTTCTGGAATCCCTGCCCCACTGGGCAAGGCTCAGCCTGAGAAGCCGCACTTCCAGAAGCTTCAAGGATTTGCTGATACATGGCTAGTAGACTTCCCATTCAAAAATCAGATTGCATCTTCAAGGTCCTCTGTTCTCGTTCCTGCTAAGCTTGCTGGCCATCTGTCTAGCATCCTACATGAAAACCCACACTGTCTGCTGAGATGTACTAATGTCAGCAGACACTCAAACCCCCAAGCTCTGAGCCCCTCCTTCTTCAGTTACCAATCTCTTCCCTGAAGACAGCCCCACCTCTGAATCCTAGAAAAGGCCTGCCTGCTGCTGTCAAACTTGTGGGTTTCAACCTGAGTTCTGGATGATCATCCCTTCTCCACATCCCACCTGCGGGCTGCTCCTTGCAGTTGACCCTGGCTGTCTGCGTGGGGCTTCCTCTTTGGTCCCCTAGGAAGGGGCTGTTCCTATACCTGAGTGGCCATTCTGCTGAGTCTTGAGGAAGTGTCAGGCACCAATGGGGTGACTGTAAACAACGGAAATTGATTCTCTTGTAGTTCTATGGACTAGGCATGCAAACTCAAAGCTCCAGATGGGCCATGCTCTTTGTGCAGGTTCTAGGGAAGGGTCTCTCCTTGTGGCTCCCAGTGGTCCTGTGCATTCCCCAGCTTGTCAACGCATCACTGTGGTCTCTGCCGCCATCATCCTGTGATCGTCCCTGCAGGGGAACAGTTGGGTCCAAGGTTCTCTTATCCATTAAGAACAGCAGTCATTAGGTTAAGGTGCATGCTAACCCACTGTTACCTTATCTCAATGATGAGTGAAGAATCAGAAATGTCTAGAATCAGATTTCACATTTTGAAGGGAATTTTGGAACATTGCCTACATATGAGCTATCTTGAGACTGAGAGCCATGAATAAGCGTAAATTCATTTATTTATGTCTCATAGACAGCTAAACACAGAACATGAAAACAATCACTGCTTACATTTTTAGTGCACCTGAGTTTTCACTAAGACCCGTTGCCATAATCTCACCATTGTCAATAGTGTGTTAGTGTTCACTAGATTCAAAATCTGTAGTGTTTAAACTTTGGATATTCAGATTAGGGGAGCTCAACCTACGCTCCGTTTGCATCAACCCAGTTTCCAAGTAGAATCACAGGCTGAGGTTTCAGGCAAGGTGTGGATCTAGAGGGGAAGAAAAATGGATTCAGTCAAGCACTTACACTAAGCTCTGAGATGCACTCTCTCATGTATTACCCCCGGCAGGGTTGAAGCAGGTACATGCCTTAGTCACACTGGACAAGGAAGCATATGAGTCCCAGCGTAGCTGTGTGCTCCAGCCCACTGCACCTGCAATGCCTGAGGCGGGTGGTGTTGCTGCAGGGTGCTACTGGGACTCCACCGGTGTCCTTTAACAGTAGATCTAGAACCTGCATCTTTAGCGACACCTGCCGGCTTCCTGGGCGCGTTGTCTGTGGTCCGTCAGACGATGCAGCCTGACCTCACTGCCTCATTGACCAAACACATGTACTCCTCTCTAATCTCAAAGGCTATGAAATGATTCCTCTGTGTTTACTGAAAAGTTCTAGAACATTCTTTATGGGCTCCTTGTAGGAACTTAATGACAGTGATTCATGTTTTGTAAATTAAGCTCTCTAAGCAGTATTATTGTTTTTTACATAAAAATTCATTCATTTGGGAAATGGAAATAAAAGTAATAAGAAATTTTGGTGTTTCATTTTTTTAAATCCTTCTTAATTTTTAATGGTTTATTTTTATTGGAAAGTCAGATATACGAGAGAAGGAGAGACTGAGAGGAACAAGTGGATCAGCTGGGACATGAACTAGTGCCCATATAGGATCCCGGTGCATACAAGGCAAAAATTAAGCCACTAGGCTATTGTATCAGGCCCACCCTTTAAATTTTTAAAAATCTTTTTAAATTTTGTTTACTGAACACTAAGAAAACTTTGTGCAAGCCATTGTTCTAAAATCTTTATAAGTTATCAACTCACCTCAATCCTAACAATAAAACATTACTTGTAGTATTAAAAAGTGTATCATTTTCAAAAGCGAAAATATCACTTAATTCTAATACAATGTACGTTTAGTTTTTTAATGAACAATGCCATCACACGGGTAAGAGAA